ACCCGGCCGGCGGCGGGCCCCTGCTCACGGGCGGCGCGGCCGTGCACATCCCCGCCGCTGGTGCCGCCAAGGCTACCCTCTACTGCCGCGTCTTTCTGCTCGACGGGACCGAAGTGAGAGTGGACCTGCCGGTGAGTAACGGGGTCTGTCCGGGGCAGGTGGCACCCCGCGCCCCTCGGGGCAGCTCCTTCCTCCCTTGTGTTTCCCTCTAAGGCGTTCCCTTTTCGGTCTCTCCGGGGATCCCCTCCCCCATCTCCTTCCCGGGCACTCCTGACCCTGGTTCCCTCCCGCGCCACCCTTGGCAGCCTCGTCTCGGAGCCTGTGGCTGGCCCGCGCCCCCTTTTTGGCTTATTGGACAGCTGGATTGCGTCTTCTCTGTCCCCACCTCATCCTTTGGGCCTTACCCCTCCCCAGCCGCACAGTCCCCACGTCCCGAGTCCCCGCCCTCTGCGCGGGTGACAGGTGTTTCCCTTCTGCCCTCGTTGGTTGCAGCGAAGACCCTTCTAGTGCTGGGTTATATTAGATACAAAATCTCCGAGCAGCGTGGGGCCGCCCTGCGGTGGCCGACTTACCCCCACGAGCTCGCCACCAGGCCTTGGGGCACAGCAGGGAGCTGTCTCCTGCTGCTCCGAGGGTGCCCCAAATTTGGGGGTCAGTGGACCACACTTCTGCTGTCTCCTGCTTCCCTGCGGGTGCCCCCTCCCCCCAACCCAGCGAGCCCCGTTGGGCCGCAGCCCTCTCAGGTCTGGGCAACCTGGAAGCTAACTCTGTAATTGCTTCTCCAGGAGCTGGTCAACTTTGCATCCGCCGAGCCCATGCTGGGGCTCGGGGAGTGGGCCCCGGGGAGTCTCGGAGCCTGGTGCTTCGGACTTTCCCCCCAGGCCAACGTGCGTGGGGCCAGCGGGGCACCCCAAGGCGGCGGCGCCTTTAACCCCAGCCACCTGCCCACAGGTGGTTGCCCCTCCCCCCAGCAGAGAGCTTGCCAGGCGCTGCTCTCCCAGGCGGGGCGTCCTTTACCAAACAGCACTGTTTCTGGCGGAATCAGATCAAATCAATCCCTCACATATATGGGGTACCTACTATGCACTGGCGGCTGTGGCAGATGACGCCTTCGGGAGTCTTTGGGTGTGACTGAGGACACAGCAGTAATTGAGCTTTACATGAATGCTACAGGTCATCTGATGGCTTCGAGGGAAGATGTGCAACCAGGACTTACAAAGAAGGCATTTAGGCCTTCCCTGGTGGCAAGGTTCTTTGTATTCCATGAGGAGACTAGGAATATCTAAGGGTCTGGTCTGGGATAGGACATTTAGAGCCTGCCTGGCCTAGGGTTTCCTATTTGCCTGGGTAGCTTTAATTTGGGATGGTTTCAATTTAGGGCAATCTTGTTTTTGTGGTTCCTTGTGCTTTCCATAGGTTATAATTTTGTTATGAAAAAACTCTGCTGAGGCCTTTTTTATTCATGGAAAAGGAGCCAACATTCCGATGCTTAGAGCTGTTGTCCTTAAAATTCATTAAAACGTTAATGTTCCCCCAAAATGAGGTTTCTGGCATTTACTGGGCTGACAGCAGAGGCCTGGAGAAGGTGGAGGGTGGCGAGGTGAGCTGGCTGCCTCTGGAGTGGGAGGCTCGTGTTTGGAGAGGATGTGGCGTATTTTGCCTCTGCCATCCGTGAAGGGAATGCAATCCTTGGGAACTTTGACAGTGCTCCTGGCTGATGGGTTTCTTGGCTCTTCCCTGGGGATAATTCGTTTATAAAATGTATTGCTCCTGTCAGGTTTGTGCAGCTGGCTTAAGTGGTGTTTGTGAGGTGAAAATGCAAACGGAATGAAGTGCATGCATGGGGCACAGACCCAAACAGACACAGATGAGTGGCCTGAGGCGGAATGCTGGCTTGACAGTAGTGTGGAGCCCTCCGTGGGCACGGGGAACAGGGATAGTTGTATCTTGAAATTTCTTTGCTTTTGTGAGGCTGCTTGACACAAGAACTCACCCATCGCATCATTTTTATGATTGCAGATTTTTTGGATGCCTTAAAGGTGCATTTAATGAACCCTAACTGTTATTTATATACACATGTGTATATATCCTGTGTACAAGTGAAAAGCAAACGTTGGCTGTTGTTCCATGACCTCTCAGGGAGGGAAGATGAAGAAAAATCCCCCATGAGCACGGCTCACTGGTTTAACGATTTATTAGACAGTAGAACTGCGCCACACAGCCTCTGAGACCAGTCATCTGGTCATTGTTAGTTTCTGTAATTAATTCTCCCAATTCCAGGTTAACACTCAGAGGTGTGTTTGTAGGATGAGTGCTTGTTCCTCAGACCCACTTCACTGACCTCACTTTTTATCTTGTCCTTTTTGGCATTTGGGCCACTTGTCTTTATTCCCTTCTTCTGTGTCCTGAAATTTGTACTGCTTCCTGGGCTCCCGTCTTACTGGTGTTGTACCACTACCAGTGGCACAGCTAGGATTTCCCTTTGACGGTGATTCTCCTCAGCTGGATTTTTTGTCTCTGTTCACTTCCATGGGTGACATTGCCAGGCCAACTGGAACTCATTTGCAATTAAGACCCACTGGTGGTGGTGGTTTGAAAAATGCCTTTGCTCAAGAGACTCAAAGTGGTTGGAGTTGCCATAAACCTTTTCGTTAGTCCGAGTCAGTACACTTGTTTTCTGAGATTGCGTCTGACACAGTAACAACACACTCAGTGTGACAGGGCTGGGGCACCTCTGCTCAGTTCAGTCAACATTTATTGGGAGGCTCCATCCAGTGCGCCAAGCACCGTGCTGTGAATGCAAAGGTGAATGAGATGTGGCCTCGAGGCTCTTGGGTAACATGCAGAAACATGTCTTTTTATTCTGTGCTGTGTGCGGATGACAGGCATACCCAGACAGGGTACTGGAGGAGAGAATGGATGGGGGACGTGGGTGGATTCACTGAAGACTTTGATACTTGGGATTGTAGGATCTCAAACCCAGTATCCCTGGTGCATTTTTAGAACACCTATTGTGTTCAGTCTGTTTCTTGGCAGAGTCATGACTGGTTATTATATAAAATGAGGGCACTAGCAATTGTAATTGTCTTCTCCAGTGACCCTCCTCTGACAGGGCTTTGAGTTCCCTTGTCTGGTGGTAGGCACGATTGGGTATTTTAACTTCTGCTATAGACAGTCAGTGGTTTCCTAATCTTTTTAAAGATTGAATAAAAGGATCTTTAAAAACACAACCCACCTACCCTGAGGCCAGAAGAACTAGATGGTGCCCAGCTACCACTGTCAACCACTCATTCAGAAAGGGACTAAAATAGGAGATCCTAGATAGAGTGGGAGGGAAATGTGGAACAACACTCAGAATCATAAAAAAGACCAGCCTTGCTGGTCTGATAGACACTGGTGAAATCCTGGGACTATGGCCCCTGTCACCCTTCAGGGCTGGGATTGAATTTACTCCTGTAGTTTCCAACCAAGTAATAGACAAGCATATAAGGTAAACATTTACATCAGGTAGGTACACTCCTTAGAACGATCAACAGTGGGAGATCAGCAGGGCAATATTTGTACAGGGAGAGAGTCAGAGGACAGGAATGTGTAGGAAAGAACACAGGGAAAAGGTAACCACAGGGAAGAAGTGGGGAGAGAGCTATAGCATTGTGGGGATTGTGATCAATGTTATGAAACAAAATGTGTATGAACTGTTGTATGGCAAATGAATTTGCTCTGTAAACTTTTCACCCAAATCACAAAAATAATAATCATCCACCTATAACGTATAGTGTAAATAAAGTGAGCTTGTTAGACCAGCCTAGCTCCCAGGTGAGGCCTTGGCTGGCCCTACCAACCAGAGTGCCACCCTGAGCCACTCCCCTTCAGAACACCTGGCCCTGCCCTGGAGGGCACCTCCCTTCAGTGGCCCAGCCCAGCCCTCAGGTGTGGTCTGGCCAGAGCAGGGCAGGGCTCCCTGTCAGCCTGATCTGGACACTTTCCTTCTGTTGGTACAGCTGAAGATCCCATTAGTGTGCCTGGCAGTCGCATCCTCTGTTGACTCTAATTAGCTCTCTGTTGACCACATCTCTGGCATCACTGTGGCTCGTGAGGCTGTCGCTCACCACGGTCTCCCCCTTCCCCTGTGCACAGGGCTTCAGTGGCTCTGTGCGGGAAGCTGTTGGCTGCCTGGCTGTTGGGTTAGCACTCCTGCCACGCTTTGGAGGGCACGGCTTGTTGGCCAGAGTTGAGCATTTGGAGCAGTTGCTTTTGCTGTATCTGGAATGCAACATTGACATGTGGAGTAGTGCAAATGTGCGAGTTTCAGAGTTAGAAGGTCCACCTTTGAGTCTTGCAACCTGGCTGTGCAGCCTTGGCCAACTTCCTTAGGCTCTTTGAGTGTTGATGTCTTGGTCTTTAAAATGGGTGTATTGGGAGGATTAAAGGAGTCTTCCGTGAGTGGAGCAAACGGGTACGCGCTTGGCTACTAACCCAAAGGTGGGCAGTTTGAACCAACCCAGAAGTGCCTTGGAAGAAAGACCGGGTGATGTGGTCTCGGAAATCCTGTGGACCCTGGTTCTACTGTACAACATGTGGGGCGCGAAGAGTCAGAGTTGACTTGATGCCAACTTATACAGGTTTTTGGTTTGGGAGGATTAAATGTCAGGAAGGATAGAAAAAGCCTCTGTAAGCAGCGAGGTTCTGGAAGGAAACTGGTAGGTGGTAATCTTACACACTCCTTGTGCCTCCTCCTTGGCCTAAGGAAAGGCTTTGGAACATTTCTAGTAATGAACATGACAAAAAAGAAAAACGAAAGCCGTGCCAGGCAGGCTAAACATTGCCCATCACTTCTTAGTAGAAATTGGAAGTTGGATGCAGTCTGAGAGATGCTTTGAAAAAGCGTGTCATTTTGGATAAGAAGAGAGTGCCCTTGGGCCCTCTCCCCCCAACAAACAAACAGAAAAGTGTAAGTTCTTGAAATTTTAGGATGGGAACCTCCAATCCAGCAGATGGCATAAGGGTCCTGTGGCTTAGTTTGGAATTGGAAGGGATCCTGGTCAGGACACACTGCATCCACTATGTGGATGGGGAAACTGAGGCCTGTGGCTATGATGAAGTCTCTGTAGTCACTCAGTGAGACGTTTGG